GCCGCTGCCGCCACTGCGCCCGCCACCGCTCCAGCAGCAGGTCCGCCTCGGCGCCGACCGGCGCGTGCCGCACCGCCGCCCCGGCCGCCGCCGCTGGGGCTGCGCCGGCGGCCCGGGCGGGGCTGCAGATGCCTCTGCCAGTGCCGGTCGCAGGCGGGTGCCCAGGGCTGCCGAGGAAAATGCTCGCGGCCGCCGGGCTGGACAGCAGACCCGCGCGCGCGAGAGCCCCGGTAAGGCGCCTTTGGGGGCTGCCGAGCGGCCACGCGTCCGGGGCCTGCGGCGGCGGCGGCGCCCGCGCAGCAGCGGGCGCGGGGCGCCGCTGCCTGGCGCGCCACTCCTCGCGCCAGGACTGCAGGAGCTCCGGCCCGGTTTTAGGGGCCCCCGAGTCGTCGTCGCAGCGCCGCAGCAGCTCCCTCTGCGTTTGAGCGCAGCAGGGGGGCGCCAGGGACGAGGGCAGGGAGGTTTGCGCCACTTCTCGCAGGGCCATGAGTGGTGCAACGTGCCGTCGAGCGCCAAGTCCGCGGGCGAGCGGCCCGCCTGTAATCAGAGGCTTTGGAAGGCATGCACAGACCCACGCCCCCAGATGTGACGTCACCACACCCGGCCCCCGCGCTGCGCACGTGCCACACACCAGTCGCTCGCGCCAGGAGGGGCCCGCGTCAGCAGCACACGCCGCAGGCTCAGCAGGCGGCGGCGGCGGGATCAGCGGCGACAGCGCGCCGCGCCTTGCGCCGCTCGCTGCGGCCGCCGCGGCGGCCATGGCGCCGCGCGCCAGCGCTGCTTCCAAGGCGCCGCCGCCGCCGCCCCCGGTTCCGCCTGGTGGGCCTGAAGCTGGGGGTCGCGCGCCGCCGCCCAGCGCCCACTGCCACCTGACCTCCACAGGCGAGCGCGCCGGCGACAGCGCGGCCGCGGCTGCGCCGCCGCCGGGCCCGCGGGGCCGAAGCGCTGCGGGTGGGACCGCCCCGCTCGGCCACGCGGTGACCAGGGGCGGCGCCTGCGCTTCCGGCGCGGCGCCACGCCTCGGCGGACCGGGCTCCACCGCGCCAGGCGGGGCGC